GACATTCCTCAAAACATAAAGTCCATTTCAAAACTACAGCCCTTTAAGAAGAATCTTGTCTGCCATCTGCTGGACACTTTTTGTTGTGCTCATGTTTAGATGTCCTATTTTGCAAATGCTGCCTTCCTGAAATTTGGTATGCTTGTTTGTCTTTGTGTCTATGGTGTATAATGATGTGATTGTGATGCTGTAGTTTGTGTTTTATGTGCTGCAGAACAGGAACCTGCTGTAAAACAGCAATTATGCTGAGTCAGGTTTGATTTTTAATAATCTTTTCCTGTTAAATAAATAAATCAAATCAAATCAACTATAATTATATTAGAAACTTTATTTTCTGCTGTGCTGTTGTCTTCAGTAAATCCTATGAAGCCTGAAGCACATTTTTCTTATTTGATTGTTCTGTACATTGGGAAAAAACATGGATCAGTCCACTTTAAGCATCTCTGACGTGAGAACTGTTATAAACAGTCACTCAGTGACACAGCAGCCATAAACTGCACAACACAAAAACATTTAAGAAAGAAGTGTTTCAGAAATGTTTCCTCCATGTAGAACGGCGTGGCTGAGTGGTCTGAGCTGCTGGATTTAAGCTCCAGTCGTTTTGATGGAGTGGGTTTGAATACCACCGCTGGTACGTTAGCTTTATGAAGCTGCAGCTGCTCAGTTATCTGCGGCAGCCATCTTAAAACGGGTCAACTCCGAATGTTAAGGAGTTTAAAAGCTCAAATGAGGATCAGTTTGAATTTTATCAACATCTGTACGGAACCCGAGAGCGGACGTTTTCCACTTGTTGTTGTTATCGCGAAATAAAGAGGAGCATTTTCTCGAGATAACGAGTTATGTTTTCTTGTGCAATCATCCTCCTTAGCTAGTTAGATAAAGTTTATTATATCATCAGGATCACTGTGTAAACGCCTGCTGATCTGCAGTCTCCTTAAACGGACAATATCATGTAAAATCAACTTTTTTGAGTTTTATATCACGTTATAATGTTATACTCTCATAAAAACATGCCCAAAGCCTTGCTTTGACTCATTCATGCATGCTTGAGAAATCCTGCAGCGTTTTTATGAAGCCATGCTGAGGAGCAAAACGACAGGTGGGGACCAGAAACGCCTTTTGGGACCAGAAACGCCCCTGGGATGTGTCTTTAAGGTGAACTTCCTCATGGCAGAGCGCCCCCCCACCCCTCCCCACATACCCCGCCCATGACCCCTGCAGGCTCTCGGGTAAAACTGAAAGTAAAACCTAACTGTCTGCTGAGCTCCTAACACTTCTCACTCAGAGAAGCTCTTTTCAGATTAAAAATACCTTTGAGGAAATGTATTTTCAGATGCCAAGTAAACTGCATCATAGCCGCCCCTCTCCCCCGCACTGAAATGGGTGGGACAGAAGCGGAAGGTGGTTCTTAAAGAGACAGAGGCCAATTTCAAAGCGTTTACAAGAGGAAGTGATGAGAAGAAAAGTTTATTTTCTATTTAAACATAAAAACAGCATTTTAATAACAACTAAATGTGACATAGATACTTTATTATGGTATAGTATTTAAATGTATGCCTGAGAAACACATAATATTGGACCTTTAAATGAAGAGGGCTGAAATGAAAGGTATCTGTACAAGACAAACAAATCAGTTTCAGTCAAAAATGACATAAAATTACATCCACTGAGTTGCCTTCAGGCCCAGCCTGCCCTTGCAAAAGAGATCTGTGATCTCAATGGGATTTGCCTGGTTAAATAATGGTAAATAAATAAATAGAAAACTTCATTGATGACCAGCTGATGGGACCAGACTGCCTCCATGGTTGCTGAATGATGCAGAAGAGGAAAACCATCTGGAAATTAACTTCTCGGGGAAAACGCTCCTCATTATTTCGTGATAACAGCATAAAATGAGAAAACCATGGAAAATAATTATTTGCAGAAAAACWGCTGCTCTTGGCTTCCATACGTCTGTCCACTGGTTCATGAGATTCATGTTAAAACTCCAGATAGACATGCACAGAAATGTGCTAAAATGTTAACCTCGAGCCTTACGCAGACATAAAAGCGACACAAAACAGCAAAACAAAAACAGAGGATCAAAATCTGCCACTTAAAAAGTATATTTGAGAAAAATGGTACATTTTAGTGAAACAATTTCATTCTTAGTTTTACTTTGTAAAAATGGTTACTGTTGCTTCAAATAAATGTAAAGAAACTAATCACTTAACTTTCCTGTATTATATTCAGTCAAGTTTTTGGAGWTGAAAATTATATAAAAAAATTCAGCATTGACATTTTGCTGCTACCTAGTGTTTGTTCTGAGAAACATAAACCAAACCTCTGTTGCACTTCAGTGTTTCTTTATTTCAAAACACACCATTCAAGCCCAATAACAGCACAGCTTTTACACGTACACGTTACAAAATGAAGTATAAAAACAAATTCTAGAGATTCTTTTATATCATCAAAAAAAAAAAATCATTGACATTGTGAATTCTATTTTTATTTACATTAACTAAGCAACACATTGTGTTCGCCAATTTTCATCTAAAATAAAAAAAGTCAAACTGAGCATCGAGTTGAGAAKCATCCTGTATTTTTAATTGTTTATGTAAATATCTGTACAACACGACGACTACCTCAATGAAACAAAGACTGTATCAGTGAATTCAATGTTTAGGCTCATTTTTTTTCACAGCCGTCTAAGAGCATTTGATTGAAGTAAAGACATCCAAAAAAGGTCACTGAAAACAGATTTGTGCTCAACTTGTTGGCACAGCCTCGACGTCACCTCGTGCACCGATCACAGAGCACAACTAGAAGTACYAACGTCTCACTGCACATCTGAAAGCTTTTGTCATGCGTCAACAGGAACATTTCCTTAAAGAGAAGTTAATGTTTATACAGAGTCACGTCCCTTCACAGCATCAACTCACCCTTTTTTCTACATTTAGATAAATGCTAAAACACATTTGTGAGACTTTTCTCAGGTTAGAACTCCCGCTGGGACAATCCCTGCTGAGCATTTCAGTCGTGTGTGTTCTCCGCTCTGTTAGGAGAGGGCTGTAAACGCAGGAAGGTGCACTGCAACTTATCCTAAAATATTTGAATCACTCCTCTACCACCATTTGTTTAAAAAAAAGTTCCAGTTATATAAAATATTCTCCATCGTTTCAATTCGGTCAGATTAACCTCGTCCAAACCGAACCGTGTCATGTCCACAAGTTAGTTACTGCTCAGCAAAGTAATTTTTTTAAAAAGCTGCAGGAAGTAATGAGTTAAGATGAACAAAATAATAATAAGACTGCAATAAGACGTGCAATATCGCCGAAAAACTGGTCCCCAACATCAGATTTAGGACAAAATGCCACAACAAGCAAGTGCCAGAGTTGGTGTATGAGAATATGTAGGAGACCAGAAAAGGTTCAGCTCTCATCTGGTCTAAAAGATGGTTTTGATTTATGCTGAGTGAAAGTGTGACAGATCGTATCCAAGCTTCAGGTGTCCCGTTCTCAAATATCAGGCATTCATCAAACAGTAAAATCTGAGTATCTGAGTACAGTACTTTACAAAACAACCAGTGTTAAAACATGAGCACTTCCAAACTGTCATGTCTTGTTGGATGTGACATGCTACATGTCAGGTTGCATTCCTGTTAAAAAAAAAAAAGTCTTTGAACGTTCATGCAATCCTAACCTAAAGTGTTGACGTAGTAGTATTTGCACTTCTGACTCATGAGACGAGATTTGATGGATGTCCTTAAGCTCTGCTTCAAGCAGCCAGCAGAAAGCACGTTTGTTTTTTTGTTTTTTTAATTCAAGCGAGACGGTAAACGGAGGCAGGAAGCAGAAGACTGAAAYAGACGACAGGAAGGCTGCAGTGGGGTCTAATGTGCTGGAGGGTTGTTGGGATCTGGTCGGCTGTTGTTGTTGGCCAGGTACTTCGCCCGCATGCTGGAGGTGTACTGTGGAGTAAACCAGAGGAAACACAGCAGTTTAGTAATTAAAAGAAGAGGTCTAAAAAAAAAAACAGTAAACACAAGTGAAAAAAAATCGCTCCGGTTGTTCAAAACATAATAACACAAACTAAATGCAGGATTTCTTCATTAWTATGACAAAAATAAAAAAAATCTGAATTGACAGAGAAAGTCCTACAAATATTACCTTTCAGATACATTTTTTCAATAACATTAATTTCTACAGGAATAATAAATAATTCAAACACAAAAAATGCAACAGAAGTTGAGGACGTCTGAGTAAAATGAACTATAAAAAAATATAAACCTGCTGTGGTTTTAAAAAGTCTTTTTTCTTCACAGACAGAGGCAGACATTTACATACATTTAGGACAAACTCATGCATTTTCGTCTTAACGTAGGTAAAACAGGCAGATAAAAGGGCAGCATTTCACTCCTATGGAAACAGAAAACTTGGATGCATTTAAGTTTGATCAGCCTTCAGAAGCTTTAGGACAAAACTTACCATTTTATATATATATAT